TAAATTCGCTCTGAAATCCGTGAGGGAATAACAAAATTCGGCCAAAATATATCCGCGTGCCGGGTTTGCTGTGCAAAAAGCGGAAGTCGTTGAACAACTCAAAATACACTCAATACAATCAGGGTGATTGGACAACGAATATCAACAAACATTTCAAATTTTTTTAACAAACACAATGTGAAATACAATTTATTATACATATTAACGTACTACAGTTATATTTACATGCAGTAATATTTACACTTTATAACGTTTGTGAATAGTTTTGATTGTATGATTGAAATTATTACAGTACTGTTAAAAAAATTGAAATGTTTGTTGATATTCGTTGTCCAATCAGGGTTGAGTGTATTTTGAGTTGTTCAACGACTTCCGCTTTTTGCACAGCAAACCCGGCACGCGGATATATTTTGGCCGAATTTTGTTATTCCCTCATGGATTTCAGAGCGAATTTAAGCTCTTTGATTAAAGTATCGTTGTTTTGAGAGTTATACGGTATCATTCTTGCAGGGGATATCGATTAATCGTGAAAGAAATGCATTAAAAGCGAAAAATCGAGGATAGTTTCGTGTGACATATGCCAAGTCTGGGCTATTTTGGTCTCAATGTCTCCGTCCTTCCCTCGTTATAAGGAAGGCACAGGTGGGCGCGGGCAAATCGAGCCTGGGCTTCCAGTGGCGCAGTAGCTGTTAATTGGTCTTTTTGTCACCCTGGGGGTGGGGGTAAGGGTCTGTCACCAAAATGTCCATGAATCGGCGTTTTCCTACTACTAATATGTATTTAATTTTTGACATTGGCACAAAGCAGTGATCAAATTGTATTTGGTAAAAGATATGACTTTTTTCTTACAATTTAATCTGTATTTTACTTCTAGACGAATTTATTCCAATATCGCTCACTTTCCGGTGTCCCGGCGGACACGTCACCTCTGTCATCCCCACAGTTCCCTGGGCAGAATCATTTTAAATTCTTTTCGCTTACCTTGAACATTCAAAACCAATTCTTTTCTCGCCGTTCCGAGTTTATTCTTGGCTTCACAGATAAATTTCCCTTCATGACTATCTTGAACTTTAGCTATATTCAAATAATGCATTCCATCTCGTGTCATCATCTCAGTATATTTAGAGTTAATGCTGTCTTTTGTAATCCAGGTCACTGTCGGCATTGGATACCCTTTCACTTCGCATTGTAGTGTCAGCTGGATGTCTTTTGTTACTGTTGTATTACTGCTCATATTTACAATAACTGGCGGATACATTACAGTAAGACTTGCATTACTCATCAGAGGTTGGCTCATGTTATTTTTAGCAATACACGTGTACACGCCATCATCTTGAATCTGCACATTACCAATCTCGAGCGTACCATCCTCCAAGACCTGAATTTTACCAAAATTCTGTCCTGGTGTCAGATATGTATCGCCTTTCAGCCAAGATAATGTTGGTTTAGGACTACCGTCAGCGAAACAGTAGAAAGTGGCGACTGAACCGCGACGAACAACTACATCGACTGGATGTTGAACGAAGTACAAAGGAACTAGAACGAGTAAAAATTTCCATTTTAGAAAATTTTAAAATATTTTCAATCAAGGTGTCGTAGAATTTCCTCTCTCAATTAATTAGTACTGATCAACTGTTGAATCGCAAAACATGCACTTCTAGGGCTGGTTGTATTAAAAAGTGGTTAAAGTTAAGTGTAGTTAGTGGAAAAGTTGATCAATAAGAGTTAACTGCCATTTACCTATTAAACGGGTAGTAAAAAGTAGTTAAGAGGTCTATACAACAGGCCCTGCAGCAACAAGGGGGAATTTCGTTCTCGACCAATCAGCGCTTTTGTTTACATTTTTGCCCTAAGCCAATCAGAATGCGTAAAACCCTTCATCACATGAAATTTGCAAACAAATATATGGGGTTACTTCAGAGCTCTTCTGCAAGCGGTTTT